AGAGCTTCCCCATTGACAAGTAAAATTGTCTGGCATTAGACATGAAGTAAAAAAAAGTAGGGCGCACTGGGGAGCATCACGGCTCAATGGGTTAACTAGAGACATTGTCAGATTTTTGGTTAACCCATTAAGCGCCAGCACTCGCCCCTTGACGAGTAAAATCGTCTGGTGTTAGACAGAATAAAATACTAAAGTAGGGTGCTTCAGGGTGCAATGCGACTCAATGGGTTAACTAGACACATGGGCAGATAGGCCAGTTAACCCATTAAGCGCCAGCGCTCTCCCCTTGACGAGTAAAATCGTCTGGCATTAGACAGAGTAAAATACTAAAGTAGGGTGCATCAGGGTGCAATGTGACTCAATGGGTTAATTAACCCATTAATTAAGCTGCAGAGCTCCCCCATTGACAAGTAAAATCATCTGGCATTAGACAAGTAAAAAAAGGGTGCACTGGGGCGCATCGCAGCTCAATGGGTTAAATTCGATTCTGTAGTTAATATTAACAAACTCTGTACTCTATCTGTGAAAATCCTTCATGTCTGCCATGATTAATTCACAATACACACGCACGTGTAAAGTTTAACGTACAGCTAAATGGTGAAACACGCGACAAATATTCGACTTTTTAGCCTTGAGCAAATTACCCACCCCGGGGCTAACCTGCAGAAAGCAAATGCCTGACCCTATGCCAGGGGGGATGGGCACCCATGAAATTGATTGAGACATTACCCCTTGTCACTTTCTACAGCAGGAAATAGCAATATATTTCTTAAGACCACAAAAAACACACATTCATACCCCCAGGCCCCATCCAAAAATATGCTACTACCCTCCAGGTTTACAAATCATCTGAACTTATCAGCTCTGTATATTAATTAAACAACAATAACGTGAATGTCAATGTCGTACCTTTCGTATCGTGTCTTTTATCAGGTTATCGAAGGCTCCCACCAGAACACAAACAACCATTGATAATGTGAGTGCAATTCCAAGAGTTATTAAACATAAAGAACAATATTCACGCCTACAGCAGCGCATGATTATTATACCAGATTAAAATTCCTATTAAAATTCTTGAGAAAAATACAAGTGAAAGATGTGATGTCAAAAGCCAAGTCAAAAACAAAGGCACGTGAGCTCTGTTGAGCAATGAGCACGGAAAGTCGCTTGCGAGAACTTGCGTGAACGCGCGCGTGAAACACTCGAGGGCCGGAAATGACCAGATTTGGTAAAATATTTTACTTTCTGCAGTGACCAGATTTGGTAAAATATTTTACTTTTGGTAAAATTCAGGGCATTTTTTAACTATAAAGTCCCCATGGTGCCCCCCAGCCCCCATGATGGCCCCCTGCTCAACCATCCCCCCCCCCGTCAAAGTCCCTTTCCTCTAAAATATAAGCAAAACATGGAATTTAGAAGGGCTAAGGGACCGTTCATTAATTAAGGACCGGGGGAGGGGGGCTGGAGGAAAATTAGGGGGATTGCCAAAACAATTTATGGTTAGAAGGGGGGGGGGGGCTTTAAAGTGTTTTCAGCATGAAAGAGGGGGTTGCCAAAATTATTTGTAGTAATTATTAATATTTTAGGTTGACCAGTTTCAAATATTAAGCCTTCACAACCAAAACCATTTGAAGAAATGGTTTGCAATTTTAACAGTTTTAAAGCTTTTGTTATGTTTGTGGTGAAGAAATTGGAAGCGTTGCTTATGTTGGTGGAGAAATTTTGAATATGCTTATGTTAGTTGGAGATTTTTTTTACCTTTCGAAATCAATATTTTGATAACAACATTTCTCGTAATAATCCATCACCAGGGGCGGATCCATGGGCTGACCAGGGGCGGATGTATAGCAACTGCTAGCAAATGGTAGCAGTTGCTATAGTGACTATAGCAACTGTAGCAAATGCTACAGTCACATTTTCCTGCAAAAAATATTTTTAATACTTAATGTCGTGATAGTGAAAATTCTTTATAGAAGTTTTCCAGTTTCTCTACGGCCTTAAAAAAATTAAATTCCGCAGCATTGTGAGCTACGAATATAAAATTACGTTTTCCGCGCTCATCTTAACCTGATTTTTACCCGAAACAACGCCCGTTTTTAGGCGAAATCACCTAAATTTATTGATTCAAAAAGCGTTCAAGAAAAGTGGTCTAAATATAGCGATTTATGACGTCAAAATGCTACAGTCAACTGCGGGTCTGACGTCAAAATGCTACAGTCAGCTGGGGGTCCAGTTACTAAATTTAGCATTTTTGTTACAGTGAGATGAAGCAAACCAATCACAGTGCAGACTCACGGAGCATTGACTCACAAATCATAATGAAAGAATTAAAGGGCCAGTCAGTCACGTCCAGTTTACGTCACTAAAGTTCGATAAAGTACTCAACGTAGTAGTGATGAGAATTTTTTTGTAAAATTTTGGTAAAATTCGTGTTTTAATAAATTACTATTGGTTGCCATTTCTCGATTCGTCTGCAACCGTAAAATACTGATACTGAATAATTTACATCTCGACTGAAATATGCTTATGTTTTGTACATTGTATCCTGCATAATTATATTAACTCAACAATTATATTAATATTATTATTATTATTATTATTAATGTTAAACACTCCCAGAAGGGTTTTTCAGTGTTCAATACAGAAGTTATAAAAAGTAATTAATTAAATTATATTCTAAAAACTATATAATATACTATTAACACCAAAATATATAATATCAAGCTAGTTATATTTAAGGTAAAATACTTATTAATACTATTTAATTTAAAATTTAGTCAGTAAAAGATGTAATTCAGTTCTGTTCATCGAGAAATTGTTGAACCAAATAACTTCGTAGCCCGCTTTTAAAACGTTCCAAATTAAGATTATGGTCTTTTAGCCATTCTGGCAAACTGTTCCATAAACAAGAAGCTCGGTAGCGAAAAGTACGTTGCCCGGTCGCTGTTCTATATAAAGGTATTTCCAATAATTCGCTAGATCTTGTGTTCAAATTATGTAATTGTGATCTTGTTTGGAACATACGACATAAATATGATGGGACCATACCATTAACACATTTATAAGCCATTACTGTATCTCGGAATCGCAACATATAATTGACTGGTAACCAGTTAAGCTGTTTTAAAGATGGAGTGATATGGTCGAATTTTTTTGTGCCCGTGACAATACGTGCTGCGAAATTCTGAACTTTTTGCAATTTTGCAATGTTTTTCTTCGATGAATTAGACCATATGGTTGAACAGTAATAGAGTTTACTAAAAACCAACGCGTTTATTAAAAGAATTAACGTCTTCATATCAAAAAGGTGCCTTGCTCTATTAATTTGACACAGGCTACCGACACAAGAGGAAACCAGTTTTGTGACGTGTTCATCGTACGTCAAACCACTATCCAGTGTCACGCCTAGATCAGTGGCTGAGGTCACAGGAAACAGTTTTTTCCCCAATAGTAAAATATGGAAATCTGCCGGTATCTGTTTCAACATATAACGAGTTGCGAACACAAGTAATTTCGTCTTATTGGGATTAATAAGCAGACTATTTAGACAACACCAAGAAACGACTCTCCGTAGATCTTCGTTAAGCTTAGCAGCCGCTGAGTTCACTTCATTGACGGAAAATGACAAAAGTAGCTTCGAGTCGTCGACGTAAGACTTCAAATTACCATTCTTTGGTACCATAGGTAAATCATTAATATATATGTTGAATAACATGGGACCGAGAATTGAGCCCTGCGGAACGCCATGATTGAGTGTGCGTGTTTCAGAGACAGTCGATCCAATGCGCACAACCTGCTGTCGTCCTGTCAAGTAACTTTTAAACCAACATAAAGCGTCATCGGACACTCCCAATACTTGGAGCTTTTTTAGAAGCAATACATGATCGATACTGTCAAATGCTTTAGAAAGGTCTAGTAGAATTACAGCTACGACCTCCTTGTCGTCCATAGACTTTAAGATCTTATCCGATATAAATAAATTCAATGTTTCAGTGGAGTGCAGCTTCCTGTTTCCACTTTGGTGTACGCTTAAGCATTTCTTCTGTTCCACATATGCGGTAAATTGTTCCAAAACTACACGCTCGCAGATCTTTGATGCAGCAAGTAGCAAGGAAATTGGTCGATTATTTTTAGCAATCTCGTGATCCCCTTCTTTTAATAGGGGAATAACTTCTGACAACTTCCAGGCGCTGGGAAACAAAGATTCTCTTAAAGAGCAGTTAACAATATCCGTAAGAGGTTGAAGAATGTATGGTAAGACATCTTTGATCACTTTCACAGAAACTTTATCTGGTCCAGGGGACTTATTGGATGGAAAAGAACACACAATTTTACGAATCACGTCACAGGACACAGGCGGTGAAAATGAAACTTGTCAATTTCTGCACTACATTTATGTGGTATCTCTGGATGAGTCGATGTAAGACCATATGAAGTAATCAACGCTTTGGATTCTTCTGCCGCTTTTGCTCCGACTGAAGAAAAGTATTCATTAAATTTGTTCGCTACTTCAACGACATTCCCAGAATAAGTTAAACGTGTTTTTTCATTTCTAGGAATACATTCTCTTACAGTTTTCCAAAGGGAGTTGATGTTGCTATTTTTGTCATTAATTCTTTTATACACAAATTTTCTCTCGGATTCTCTCAATTTTCTTTTAATTTGATTTCTACATGAACGATATCTGTCCCAGTCCAAGGCCTGCAGGGTTTGGCGGGCAAGTTTATGCAGCGCATTTCTTTTTTTCATAAGTTGAACAATTTCCTGGTCAACAAAAAGGGCACAAGCGACGTTTAATCTTAACAGTCTTTATCGGGGCATGCATATCTAATACACTTAGAAATTTCTGATTAAAATTGTCCAGTCGCTGGTTAACGCCCTGGTCAATTGGATTTTCTTGCCAAATCAGCTGTTCTAGATCATTTTTAAATGCTTCAGAAGAATAATTCTTAAAACTTCTTATGACCATGTAATCAGGTAATTTCTTAGGCAATTTAAGCTTTAATATTGAATAAACCTGAAAGTGGTCACTGATGTGCGTTTCTTCAACTCCACTTTCCACTACCAAGCTTGTGTTAGATGTTAAAATCACGTCGATGAGAGATGAGGACTGCAAAGTCACCCTAGTTGGTTTCTTGATAAGTTGGAATAAATTCAAGCTGCTGCACAATTCGTTCAACGCATCAGATTCTGGACCACTTTTTAATAAGTTACAGTTTAGATCACCCACTATTACAATTACATTATAACAGTTATATTAATAAAAGATCGATTAAACCTAACAGTGCAACCGAAGTCATGCATTGCACAGTTTTAGGTTTTATGTAAACTTTCAAAGAGGAAGTAACTTTGCATTCCACCACATGACCACACTGACCATTCCAGATAGCTGAAGGGTGACTTTAAACAAGTTATAG